CCGGTGAGATTTGAACCGCTGAACTGCAGATAACAGTCAGCTGAAGTGGCCTGCAGTACTGCACCCTAACCACTGTGCCACCTCGGCTCTTAGCCCCTGCTTATTGCAGAGAAGATGGTTCGAAGCAGGGGCGAAATGCTACTGGTTCGGACCAGTTTGCCTGAACTGGTAGTAAAAAAAAAAGCTACTGGTTTGGGCAAATTGGTATTTCCGATGATCAGCTGTGACACATGATTTATATTAGCTAGAAAGCAGGGTTTCCTGCTTTCTAGCTAATCTAAGTCATGTGGCATAGCGGATTCCCCCCTACCTGCTGTTCTATTTACTTTTCAGGTGTGCTCGGTACCAGGCTCCACCCACCCGTCCGGACATCATCGCATCCATTTTTGATGCTCTGCGCATGCATAGAAGGTCCTGCACATGCACAGAGGTAGCACATGTGCTCACATTTGCGAACTGGTAGTGAAGGTCAGTAGATTTCACCCCTGGGTTGAAGGAAATCATACAAGCCAGCTATTGAGGTGTTGTGAGACAAGCTCTTCTTATTCCTTATCCTCTTGATATTTTCTCTGTGTTGATTTCCCTCAGATATAAAGAAAATGGGGGAGAAATGAAAGTCAGTTCCTTGGGGCAAACCAACTGTTGCTTTACCCAGCCAAGGCCTATCTATCTGTCTCTATCTTTCTGTCTATTATTATAAATCTTTTTTATGTAATACTAGTTGTATTCAAGAAACCCTAAGGTTATCTACAAGATAAATCCACCATGATTCTTAGTGGAATGATAAAACACAGTACCATGTTGTATATATGGAATGAGATGCCTACTAAGTGGCAGAATTTTACACATAATGCCCAGCTACTGTGATTTAAAAAATAATAGTTAGGATGTATAAACTTAGCTAGGTTTAGCATATTCAAGAAGCATGGTTAATACATGAACATAGCTATGGGCTCTTGGCATCAGTATTAGTGGAAATGCTACTATTAGGACCAGGGCCAGCTCTAGACATTTTGGTACCCAAGCAATGGTGGGTTTCAAAATTTGTTCAAACCTACTCTGTGGGTGTGGCCTCCTTTGTGGGAGTGGCTTGCTGCCCATGTGACCAGATGGGAGTGGCTTGCCGCCCATGTGACCGG